TTTTTTTTTTTTTTTTGCATTTTTCCCTGTTTGAGAGTTTTTGCCCCCTTAAAAATTGGAACTTGGTACATTCAGTAGAAAACTCTTCACTCAGGCTGTGGCCAAGACCAAGAAAAGTGCAAAGAGACAGAGGAATGAAGGAGTGTGACTCCTCCATGGTTAACATTCAGGGAGCCTGTCAAAACCTCCCCTTTCCTATAGGCTGGGAGGGCAAGAGGGAGAAGGAGGATGTTCCTGACCCTCCTCTAAACTCATCTCTCTCCAGAAGCCATTATCTTGCCCTCCCAGCGACTGCTATGAGGGCAGCCATCTAGACCAAAAAAAAAAAAAAAAAAAAACCAGTAGCTAGGGAGAGGCTGCCATTTTGATGACAGCAACTTTTCCCCTTTTTAAACTGCACTCCTCTAATTCCCATTTGTCAGATTTGCTCCCTCAAACAGGCTCTCCCCTTGGGAGCTGGTTTTGTGTGTGTGTGTGTGTGTTTGAGGGAGAAGTGGGTGGGATGGGAAATGTCCATCCAATCACAGAGCAAGGAGGCCCAGTTTTCAAAGAGAATTAGGAGCAAACATTTCTTCATCTCCCCCACTAGAAGGAAATATAGGGACCCCTGACCAGGGTTAACTAGTGCAAATTAGGGATTAGGGACATGGTCCCTGCATCCCATCCCTAGGCTAGGATCTTTGGGTGTGGGGAACTGAGTCAAAGATGGGGTGTAAGGTGCTATTTTGGAAGGACAGTTGGTGGGGATACCCCAAAGCCCACCAGGAGAATAGAATGGTTCCCCCAAAACCATCTGGAGTGATTGGTGAGGGAAGATGAGGGTAAAGGTAAGGATGGAAGGTCATGTGCAAATCTTGGGCTTACCCACCCATCCAACCCCCATCTTTTTTTCTGGCTATTTGGTCTACTCTGGGAGAAACCATGAGGAAAAAAATAGGGAGAAAATAGATTCCCTTCTCCATCTTACATGGAGCTCTTCCCTCCTGGCCCCCAAATCTGTTTTAGCCCAGAAGAGGCTATAGGTAGAGGCAAGAGGTGTGACCTATTCACCTCTTCTGCCTTGGAAGACTCTTGGGCTCACTGGATTTGAGGGTCAAGATAGGGCCAAGATTTCCCTGCCCTGAGCTGGGAAAAGTGCTCAGCTATGATCAGAGGTGTAGCCTTCCCCCCAGTACCTCCTTGACCTGGATTGGGAGAGGTCATCTCCAAGTCTAGGGGAATGGGAGGAATATGGAAGATCCAAAGGCATGGAAGCCAAGGAAGGCATGGGATCCTAATGCAAAGGAAACAAGGACAGAGAAACCCACCCTTGGGAAGAATGGAATCCAAAGCCATGCTCCCAGGTAGGTGGGGTTGGGTTTCACAATGGTCTGGTCCAGGCCCTGGGCCATAAAGAACGGAATGTGCTAGGAAGCATCTGAGGAAGGGCTTAGAGAAAGCTTCAGAACAAGGGGAGAGATCATTAGGTGAAAGAGATGGTTTCCCCCTAGGTTTACAAATCAGAGGAGCAGGTTAGACATTCAGAGCTAGTGGGGGCTGTGAGTAGAGATTCAAATATGTATATTGCTCAGTTGCCCCAAGGGCTGGAGAAGGGATGGGATCTGGTCCTGCCCCTCATAGAGGCCATTCTCTGGAGGAAGCTTGAGAGGGGACCACCAAATATCCCTTCCCAGGAGATGGGAAAACTACAATCTCACACAAAGCAGCCTGACCCCTGAGCTCCAGGGGCCCCCAAGTCCCTGCACAAGTGTGCAGAGGGGCTCCCAAGGGGCAGGGAGGCCAGGGAGCTGGTAGTAGTGGAGGGTTCAGGGTGGGTGGCATCTGTTAAAAGGGGACTCTGGCCCCAGAGCTCACCCCACATCTCCCGTTTGGGTTCTCTCAAGCCCTGCCCTTTCTCCCTCTCCCTTAGGGGGAACTGGTGGAGGAAGAGTTGGGGGTGGTGGTGTTAGGGGAGTAGGGGCTGCTGCTTGAGGATTCACTGTGTAGCCAAAGACCCCTGGTAGGAAAGGAAGGGCCCCCCCACCCTTTTCATCAGGTAGGACCATGTTGAGAGCAACTGGGAGAGCAGCCAAGTTGCTGAAGTTGTAAGGGTAGGCAGCAAGGAGCTGAGGGCCATAGACAAGTGGGTAGGGCTCAGGGTAGAAGGTGACTTTGGCAGCCCCCATCCCCTCCATCCGGTCCCCCTCATTAGCACCCCCTGGCCCCTCACTCCCAGATTTTCCCCTGCCACCTCCAGGTTCTCGGCTGCCCCCAATGAGGGCCAGTGGAAATTCCTGCACAGGTGGATATGCATAGCTTCCCCCTCCTGCCATCACTGGGGGCTCCTCACCCCCAGAAATAACAGGGTCCTGGAGTGAGGCGGTCTCAGAAGCTTCTTCAGCAGCAGCACTCCCACCACCTGCCTCCCCACTAGATGAGGAGACCTGCATCTCTTGGGGGGCCTCCTCCTTGATATCCCCTGGCCTTGTGCCAGCACCGCCCTTGGAATAGGCAATGACAGGTGTGGGGGTGCCCCCCGGCCGTTCAGCAGCGTGTCTCTGCTCATGTCGGCTCAGGGCAGCTGCTGTCTTACACACCTTGGCACAGTGGGGACAGGTGAGGCGAGCGGAAGGCCTCCGTCCAGCCCGGGAGCTGTGGGAGCCCCCACTGTGGGCCTCTTGGTGCTTTTGCAGCTTCCTCAGAGTGGCGAAGGTCTGGGCACAGTCCCCGCAGCGGTGCCTCCGCTCTATGCGAGCACGCCCTGCTGGGCTCTCAGCTGCTGGGGTTTCTTCCCAGCTTCTCCTTTCCAGCTTCTGCCTCCAGCGTGGTGGCCGTCGGCCTCGGGGCAGTCCACTACCACTTCCTGCAGCTCCAGCCTTACGCTTAGGCTTGTACGAGTAGTAGGGCCTCCAGAGCTGGTCCTCCCCACTAGCCTTTGATTCTTCCTCATCCTCATCCTCGTCATCTTCCTCATCATCCTCACTCTCCTCCACCTCCTCTCCGCTCAGCTCCCCAGGACGAAGGTCAGTTTCTGAGATGCGACGCTTGACAATTGCCTCTTCCCCAATTCGCACAGTGATCTGACACAGTGGAGGTGGAGCCTGTAGCTGAGATGGGCCCCGGCCGGGCCCTGCAGGGGAACCCCCACCCCCGCCAATCCCACCCACTGGCTTGGCTGTATAAGTCAGAGTCCGCCCAGCCCGTGGATTCCGGCCCTTGGCCTCCTCTGTGGTGGTGGCTGTGGCTGGGCCTGCGGCTGTGGCTGGGCTGGTAGGTGTAGCTGTAGCTGTAGGCTCTGGGGGAGGAGGTGGGTACTCCCGTTTCTTGGGAGGCCTTGGGGGAGCAGTGTAAGTGATGACCGAGGCGGTCTGGGACCCTCCAGTGCTGGCTGGCCCACCACCCACTCCACCACTGCTACTGCCCCCATGGACAATGACAGAGGGGGCTGGGTGAGCAAAAGTGATGACAGAGGGTGGGGGACCAGGTTCTGGGGCAGGTGGAGGTCCGAGTGGTGGGCTGGCTGGCATTGCCACAGGGGCCGGTGTGTTGAGGCTTGGAGAAAGGGGGCCCTCGGGGGCTCCCTGGCTGTAGGTCTTGTAGGGCCGCTTGGCTGCCCTCATGGGTAGGAGGCGGTACAGCTTGAGAGTGTTTAGCTTGGGCTTATAGCCTCCATTGGGTGTCTTCTCACTTGCTAGGAGGCCTGGGCTAATGCCATGGAAGGCTCGTTGGTGGGTCTTCAGATTATAATAAGTGACAAAAGTCTCCCAGCAGAAGATACACTGATACCTGGGCCAAGACAGCAGGGAATAGGGCAGGAACACAGCCACTTGAGTCAAGGTTCCTGAAGCCAGGGCCTCAGCTTCCCAGGTCCTCTATTGCCCTCCACACAAGCCTATAACTTCCTGAGCCATTTGCTCACCCTCCTTTCCTGCTGCTTGTTTCACACTGTCATCCTGAGGGGCACCATCCTAGATTGGCACTGCCCACCACCTGTGAGACTTTGGCCTCAGCTGTTCTGTCTGGGATCCACAAAGCCTTCTTCTGAAGCCCAGATGATGGAATAGGAAAGTGATTTATAAACAGGGACACACTATGGACATATAAAGCACCTGTTCTAATATAACTATTGCTGGGCATGCCCATATCCCTTCCTGTTAGGGCAACTTTCTCTTTCCTTCTAAGGGACATAGCACAAGAGGTGCTGACTGAGATCAGTTGAAGGATCTGGGGCTGAAGGGAGGCAGATGGGGGCCTGAGGGGGTGCAGGGCTAGTCTCAGGCTGACTCTGTAGGCCCCATGCACTGCCCATTCCCTCCCTTGTCCCTATATGCTCTGCCCCTACCCCAGTACACTCACCTGCGCTCTCCAGTGTGCCACACCTCGTGTTTAGTGCGGTACTCAGCCAGGGCAAACACCTTCTCACAGTAGCGGCAGGGGTACTTCCTCCGCCATGAGTGCACATTGCTGTGCCGCTTCAGGCTGGACAGTGTCACATAGGAACGCTCGCAAGCTGCACACACATATAGCACATGGCCACCCACCACCTTCACCACATGCTCAGGGCCACCTTGGAAACCCACAGGTGGGGGCAAAGCTGAGGCATCCACTCCTGTAGGACCACCAGGACCAGAATCCCCAGCTCCCAGCCCTGTAGCCTCCCGAGTGCCACCACCACGTCGGCACTGGGCCTCATGGGTCTGCAGCCGCTTAGGATGGATGAAGCTTTTTCCACATCGGGGGCAGGGAAGGGACCGCCGGGGCAATGAGGACTGCAAGTCAGGGTCTTGGGCCTCAGCCCTGTCACCTTCCCACTCTGCAGGTGGCCTAGGCCCAGGCCCAAAGTTGTCATCTTCAGGCTGTGAGGTGGCCATGGGGGCTGGGGCAGGAGGGACCCAGGCATCGCCTCCCTCCCCTAGGCCCTGTAGGCGGGAGATGCCCAGACGCCGCCCTAAAGCGCCAATCTCTGCTACAGCTGCCCCATCCCCTCCACCACCAGGTAGTGCAAGCCGGGCACTATATATGAAATTGAGGACATCAGAAAAGGCAGCTGCTGGGACCCCTGGGAGTTCCAGGACCCGAGGTGGGGATGAAGTAGGGGGAGAGGCTGGAGGAGGAGAGGAAGAGGAAGAAGAAGAGGAGGAAGAGGAAGACGAGGAAGAAGACAAAGAAGAGGAGGAAGAGGCAGCTGTGGTGGCAGCAGGGTTGGGAGCTGAGCCCCCAGTAACTGATGGGAGGGGCAGTGGGGCTGAAGTGAGCAGAGCCTCTCTGAAGAAGGGACTTGAAGCAGCCAGGACACTGCGGTGAGCAGGGAACTTCGTGTCTCCAGCTATGAGGGTGACATCGCAGAAGAGGCCACGGAGCCGCTGCTCATTGAGCTGACGCAGGACAGCGGGGGCGTGGGATGGGTCCGTCACCTCTGCAGGAGGGGGCATGGCGCCAGCCTAGACAGCAGGAGAGGAGGCCAAGGAGAGTCTCAGAGGCTGGGCAGAGGGCAGGGGCTCCTGAGATCAGGGAGGTAAACTGTGAGGAGTCAGGGCCGCTGGTCAAAAACTAGTGGAAGGCTGAATAACTTCAGGTCACAGAAGTTAACCCTTAGCCACCCAAGTCTGGCCAATGTCCTAGAGTTGTATGGCCTACTTCTTTTTTATTTTTTTTGAGACAGAGTCTCACTATGTCACCCTTGGTAGAGTGCCATGGCATCACAGCTTACAGCAACCTCAAACTCTTAGGCTTAAGCAATTCTCTTGCCTCAGCCTCCCCAGTAGCTGGGACTATAGGCACCTGCCACAACGCCTGGCTATTTTTTTGTTGCAGTTGTCATTGTTGCTGAGCTAGCCTGGGCCAGGAACCTACCAACCTCGGTGCATATGGCCAGCCCCATAACCACTGGGCTGTGGGCGCTGAACCAGTATGTTCAACTTCTGGGGCTGGAAAAGGCCAAGGATACCTTAGGTCATGGTGAAGGCCAAGGGGTCATGATCTCCAAAGTCACAGCCCAGAGAGCTAAGCAATGGAAAACTTTTCATTAGGAGGAGGAAGCTCCCACAACTACTGATAGCCATTTCACAGAACTCTCCAGCCCAGACAAAATGGCTGCCCTTGCTGGCCTGCTGCCTGGGGACTAATTTTTCCTAGCTATAGTCTTCTCAGCACCCTCTTACCTGAGAGCACAGACAACATGGAGCAGAGCGGGGGGTGGCTCAGCAAGTCCCTTCTTCTGGGCCTCTTCCTTCTGTGGAGAAACAAACCATGTCTTGGGAACCTAAAAGAAGAGGCAGGAAAGGGTCCTCAGGAAAGGAACTGGGAAAGAAAGGACCTCAGGAAGTGGGAAGTGCCACAATGTTGGGGTCAGAAAGGACATCTGGGCTATTCAGCAAACCGTGATGGAGTCTTGTTAGGTTACTTGTTTAGTTGTGTCCAATCAGACCTAGGAGTTCATACAGATTTGCTGACCCACAGCAGTACAGCAACAAGATAATTTGCCTATTTCCAATTCACCTCAAAACAATATAGGGGCACAGTTCAATCCCATAGGTTTAGGGAAGCCTGGCAAATCATTCTCAAGTCCCTTTGGCCCAGTCTTGGGGTTCAGAGGAAATAAAAGATTTGCATGTTATCAAAATGGTCTTATTTACATATCAAAATATATTTGTGTGAGCTTAAATTTTTTTTTTTTGCTACCTCCCCATCCCTGTGGGCTCAACTCATGTGAGCTTTTTTTTTTTTTTTTTTTGA